TAAAGACAACGTTTTTGTTTATTAAAAATTAATGTTATTTAATAAAAATAATAATTCTATCAGAAGTTTTGTTTGGATTCGAAGTTATTCCTGTTCAAGTTAATTTGATCATTACAATAAAGAAAGGTTTATAAAAACTTCCATAATTATTTGCACAGTAATTTGATAATTATAAAAGCTTTTGCATAAAATTTTCATTTGATAATAATTATGTTGTATAGGTCTACACTGGCCTTGGAACATAAAATATTCGGTGATTTTATCTACCACGATCATGTATATATCACGTTATTAATATTAATATGAGAAATATTCGAGTGAGAATTGAATTTGTATTCAGCAAAAGAAAAATATAGCTCCTTGGGAACAATTGATGAGACCTTGGAATATATATTTATATGTTTTTTTTTGTGAGCTTTGAAGCAACCTTACGTCAAGTGTTTTTTTTACTTGCATCATTTTTGACTTAATGGCAGCGAATTGGACATAATGGTTTTACAACTTTGGCAACATTTCGTCAAACAACAACATTAGAGTCAGTTAATGAATGTTATTGTTATTTAAAAATTTTTACTTTTATTATATTTGAATTCAATTCATTATAATTATGATCTTTTTATGCAAAATCTGTATCAATTCAATGTAATAAGAGAACTAATTAAATTGATTTTTTTGCATTCATGAATAATCAATTCACCTCTTCTATCTTCTCAATCCAATTTATTAGAGGCTCGTTTTTATCCCTGTCAAAAAACATTTCAATTAACTTTGTCCATTGTTTAATATATTTATGGCGATCCTTGAAACAACCTTTGACTTCTTCGGGAGAATGATTAATTAAGTTGGAATAACAAATATAACATTATTAGTAAAAGATTCCTTCAAATAATCATCAAATAGGTAAAGAAAAAATTTAAAATCTATTTATTTATTATAAAATAAATGGTTTTACTATAAAAGACATACCTAAATGATCAAAAATCTGCAAATATTCATAATAATGTAATATTTGGACATTTATTTCCGCCTATACTCGCAAATGGACGCGTCAAACAAAATTTTACATATATGAATATAAAGGCAAAATTTGACTTTGAGGGTCAGATTATTTTCGGTTTTATTAACAACCTGCTTTAAAAATTTTCTTAAAGCATATGCATATTAATATGATAAAGGAGTTATATCTCAAATTTGGCGGTGGTTGCTACACAACAAGGAAGACATTCGATTATAAAATTTTATCAAAGTTTTACTGATGTAGATGTTGCGATTTTTTCTTTAATTATATAGTATATATATGCTACTTTGCAACAATAATCGTTGTTATTTATTACAATAGAGTAATAATAAAAATAACTATTTTTTTATTATACATATCACAACAATCACTATTAATAAATAATAAGAATAAGAATATGCAATTCACATATTCAAATTAATCGATCAGAATTTCATATCCAAATGTTCCACCCCAAAATTTTACGTAGATTTCAATTTCACATATGTATTTGTATAAATTGTATATTAATATTATTATTATTGGTCCAATTTTTATTTCACTTCGGTTTATAAAAATTCGGATTAACGGGCAATTTTACATATAAATGGCTTCAAAAAATTTAAAAATTTCTTCGGTTTACGGTTTATAAAGTTTTATTAATGACATTCATATTAACGGAGTAATTTTACATATGTTTGGCTTTGGTGTTTTAAAAATTATTCATTTTAACGGGGTTTTCGGATTAACGGGGTTGCCTATGTATTTATTTGTTTATTTATTGCAAACAATATTATTACTTTAAGGGGAAAAAAATCAATTTTTTGGAACCTCAAGAAAACATGAAATGTACTATTCCTGAATCAGTTTCTGGGAAATACGATGAATTTACAAGTAATTTTAATAACTCGATCACTACGAAAGTCCCGAGAAATCTTTTTCATGATAAAAACTGGAAAGTACATTAATAAAAATAATGGAACGTATTCTTGAGACACTGTAAGTAATTTTCTAATACTTAATAGTGGCGTATCATTTTTTTTTTACATATTCTAATATACTTTTATTAGTGATGAGATATGGAGTAACCCTGCATTTATAACTAGTATGTCTCTCGTAGTGAACAAGGTGAAAGGACATATGTCACAGATGTTGTGATTCCTTTACTCCGAACATGCTTGGGGTTCACCGAATGGGACCATTTGCTTAAGCACAGCAAAACGACAAAGTCTAGCAAGCAAGGCTAGACGAAATTTAAAAGTAGATGAGGAACGAATGGGAAAGAAGCCCGATGTTATGGGACTCTTGATGATAAAATTTTGGAACTGATGTACGTTGAGTCTTCACGTATTATATGTACTAATTCAAAAAAAAACGGACGACGACGTGAAAGCTATGGAGGGAAACATTAGACGGGGCGAGCTTTATAGGTGCGTCATGTAGACCCGTCAGCAGCCAATTTGGAATTGCAGGGATTCAGATTGCCGGTACAGATATGCGTCTCAACGTTTTTGTAAAGGACTTGGCTGGCTTACCGAGATATTTCCATCTCGACAATTCTGAAATCCCATTATCACCCCCATACGTTGCATACCAAATCTCTAGTTCGTCTATTATTAACTTTAAGAAATATTATGATCGTAAACAAAAGCTTATTAGTACAGGCATTAGAACAAGCCAATACGCACCCACCCCGAAATTTTAATCCAAATCCTACTGTTTCATCCCCGCCTCATAATAAATATTAGCAGTCCTATCACTTTATTTTCTATATTAAATAAAAAATTTCTAATTCGTGTCATATGAAGTTTTTTTAAAATATAGTGTCATTTTTATAATAAATTCAAACTTCATTGTTAGAGTAAAATGAAATACTCCATTAAAGCTTTATAATGAATATTCTTTCATATCGAAAGGTCTTCTCTATATAAATCTACGGCTATTCAAAAATGGTGTTACTTTTTTTACTTCAAAGCTCAGATTATTTTTCAATATCGCTTTAAAAGACCTGATGGTGACTGAAGATATGTATCTCACCTTATTCCTTTTTCAAAATGCTTCTGATACTGATAGTGCTGTAATTTTTGGGGTCCCATAGTAGATATGATGTAAATTTTTCATATTAATTGTTTTTTATATAAGAGTAGTTTTAAAGAAAAGCAAAGATAACATTATAAAATTGTTAATATTAATAGTATGATGTTAAACCAAGATCCCACAAACTTCATAGATAGGTTACTGCCACAGTTGGATCAAATTCATATATAATTTAAATTTTTTGTCAGTAATTATAACAGGGTCAAAATTATTTATAAATTTAAAAAACTTTACATAGTATTAGAGTCAATTAATTTAGTGTTAGGTCAATCTGTGGGTAAATTATTATATACACCAAAAAGGTTGGTTAGGTTTAATAAGGTCAAATCTATTAGTAGCCAACAATCTATTAGGGATCCAAAAATTTTGTGTAAAAAAATTTTTTCCTACATACCCAATTCAAAGAACAAAATCATATAGTAAATCTTTTATATTATAATTATAAAAATCAATCAGTTAAATCAATTGATTGGTAAATTTTAATTTCATACAGTAGACAGTTTCAAAATTTTTAATGTTAATATATATTATGAGACAAATTATTGCAAACCTTGGGGTCAATTTATATATTAAACTTAAAATATTGGCCCGGGTCAAATCATATAACAAACAGGAATTTTTGTTACTGACCTATCTATGAAGTTTGCGGACCCTAAAATTATTGGTAGTACAAATGTTTATTAATATACAAATCCAAACGGCCAAGATTCAGTCCGGTACCATTGACATACAAAATTACACTGCATTTATATCCTATTTGGGAAGGTTACCTGACGGTCTTCATGTGTGTGTGAATGTGGAGAAAATTTTATATTTTTTTGATTTTTTGACTGTACAACCTAATAAATCACGTCTGGAAACATTAAAAAATTGCTAATCTGGAAAATAAATTCTCTTTTTCACAAATACCAATTATTTTATTCTTTACTCTCATACAATGGAAGATATTAAGATTAAAGAAGAAATGAAGATGCCAAAAGATCTCACAGAATTGATTATCAAGTTAGGAAACAAAATGAATGTACATTTTAATACAATTGGGACAGCGTTAATAAATTGCCACCTTTTCTATTTAAGAAGATACATCTCAAAAACATCAGATACAAAGATTTACAAACGTTTGATGAAACATAAGTCGAATATTATCATTTCCTCAGCAAGCTTATTGTTGGCGTGTAAAAGCACATTTGTATTAAGGACTGTTCGTGAAATTGTTATCGCGGCATGGGCAATACAAAAGCCTGAAGTAAAACCATTGAATCAAGAAGATCTAAAATGTAAACAATTAATGAGGGAAGTGATTAATGCTGAATCTGATTTAGTTGGATTGTTAGGAATTGATTTTTGTCGAGAATCACCTTTTTATTTTGCAGACAAATATATAAATCAATTGATAAAAGTTAACAAAGAGAAAATGAAAGAGAAGAAAAATAAAAATAAAAATAATGAACATTTTACATTAATTCAAAGAAAATTCTCTTTTGAGGTATATTTTATTATTTACAAAGCAGTCAAATTGCCAGAAATAGTTTTACAATACAAATCAAATGAAATCGCTTTAGCAGCAGTTTATATAATTATTAGTAAACTTTCTTTACGATGCACAGAGAATTTTACTGATTTATGTAAAAAGTTTGGAAAAGCAAATCCTGTTTCGGTGATGAAACTATTCGAAAAGCTATCATAGCTTTTTGTAATATGTTTTGGACTTTTTCTTTAAAGTAGCATTTTTTTTTTTTTTTTTTAATACACTAGAAAGCAAAATCCCATCAAACTTAATAGAGCTAATATTTATAATTTTAATTAATAAAAATAATAATTTATTTAAATGAAAAATAAACCTACGAAATAATATAAAATTACATATATACTAGTAATAATTATCAATAAATAATTAATAATTAAATCATTTTCTTTTTAAAGCTTCAAATCTTTTCATTAAATCATCGAATTCCTCATCTTTTTTATTTGTTGTTGTTTTTGTATAAGGTGGTGGCGGAGGCAGAGGTGAAGGTGAAGATGATTTATTAACAAAGAAACCATCATCATCTTGATCAATTTTATTACCATCATTAATTATTTCATTTGGTGGTGATATCGGAGAAGGTGGATCATCATCAAGTTTAAACAATGATGATTTTTTAGATGATGGTGATGGTGATGATTGTGGTAAATTTTTTGGAACATTTGCTGATGAATCTAAATCTATTAAATTCTAAATAAAGTTAAATAATTTAGAAAAAAATTGAATGAATTAAAAAGAATATTTTTGATTTTTAATTTTTAATTTTGTTTACCAAATTATTACTGTTATTTTTATTATTATTATTATTATTTTCACTATTCTTATTTTTCTTTTCAATATTATTATTATTGTCACCTAAAGAAATTATAGCACTTAAATCTGGTAATGCTGTATATTCATCCTTCTCTTTACTATTATTATTATTTAATTTAATACTTAAATCATCCAACTAAAAGAAACAAAGGTTGCTAAATTATTATTTCATCTCGTAATGTTATATAATATATATATATATACACACACACATACATCTATTGTTTCTTTATCTGAATAATTATTACGTTTTGAGTTCCAATCAACATTAAAACTTTTAGCAATTTCTTCAAGATATCGTTCTACAAGAAATGAATCCGGATTATCAACAATTAATTTTTGTACAATCTAAAAAAGAAAATAATTGATTTATATGTGTGTAGATTATATAAATTTAACAGATAGGTATATGGGTTATACACAAACCCTTTCATTCACACAATCGTTCACATTTTCAACTGCATTCTTCACGAATTCTTTGCCGAATTTTGAAATAAATTGGTCTCTGATCTGGAAAATTATGATTGTTCTAGTGTATTGAATTATCTTTAAAAAATAAAATTTTATTCAATTAATTACTTACTGGAAGTAATTCTTTAATATCCAATCTTGAAGACGCATACAATAATGTATTAACGGCTTCGGCAATTGATGGATCACATTGTCTAATTAATTAATTAATTAATTAATTAATTCATCCATCATTTATTTATTCAAAAAAAACTCGTACTAATTATATAAACATAAATATCATTTACTTCATTTGTTCTAATAATCCAAAACGTGCTATAAGAAGTTCACAATACAGTTCAAGAACTTCCATTGCTTCGACATAATAATCATCATGAATAATTCCTTCTACCTGGAAACAAACAATCAATTGATTGTTCAGTCAAAATAACAATATGAAAACAATAAAGCAACCAATCATTTATTTCATTTATTGCTTACTCTTATTCTGGCACTTTCTACTTTATTATTTTCTAATAACGTTGCAATTTCTTTACGTTGTAATTTACTACTAACATTTTTCTTTTGTTGCGCGAGTTTAATTCTATTAATTGCTAATTTTAATTGAACTTTAAGGCGATTAGGATTGAATCCAATAATTGGCGGCATAATTTTTTTTCTTGTAATATGATCATCCAATTTTGGTTAAAAAAATAGTGACATCTCGCGCATAATAAAAATTTATTAATTCAGTTCCCATTATTAAATTATTATTTATTTGTTTTCGCGAAAAAATCAAGTCCAAAAAAATTTTTTAATAATAAGAAATTTTTCATTGATGATAAAAAATGACTCGAGAAGTTACGCAGGATTTTATGGATATTGATGATGAAATAACTTTACAAGATATTACTTTTCAAGTAGTGGAGTTTCGAAAAGAACAAATATTCGACACTTTTTACGAAAAATCTTCCAATGTATGTTATATGTACATAAAAATTATAAAAACTATTATTGTTATTTATTTACATATATTTTTATCATTAATTTGTTACTTTTTAAACATGCCAGATCACACATCCTCATTTAATAAACTCCTATTATACTTCAAAATTAACATATGGTTCTATTGTTGTAATAGATACAAACTTTTTATTATCACATCTTTCATTCATCAAGACTCTCATATACGAGCATGCAAAGATCAACAATTTTCTAATAATTATTCCGTGGATTGTATTAGAAGAATTAGATGGTTTAAAAAATGCACCTGGAAGTCTTGTATCTCATTCAATCGCCACCACTTCTTCTCAATCGCCGTATGATAATCAAGCAAATGTCAAAACTTTAGCAAAAACCGCTATAACATTCTTGCATAATTGTTTGAGTCAAAAATTGGATGGGTTACGTGGTCAGAAAATATATGAAAAGTTGGAAAATGCTAAGGTAAGGATATTTTTTTTTTAAAAAAACAATAATTTATTTTTGTCTTCTAAGATCATGACATGAGATATTATTTGTTTGATTATTGAATGATCATTTGATCAAGAATAATGATGATAAAATTTTAGATTGTTGTAGGTGAGAATATTTAATTTGATTTCCTTAATATAAATATTATAATAATAATCATGCAAATTAATTGCTACATTTAACTGATGTTTTTTCTTCTTCAATATTTTAATATATATTTAATTGGAATTTTCAAATATAAAAATTTTTTTATCAGATACTTTCAAAAAGAATCTAAAATTCCCATTTTTTTGTTATCTAATGATAAAAACCTATGTGTGAAAGCTATGATTCATGGTAAAAGAGACTTATGGAATATTTATTATCATCATTATTATTATATGGTAAATGTTTTTTGGATATACAATTCAATCAATTCTTTGTCTGTTTTTTTTTTCTGTAGATATTTACACATTATCTTTTAGTAAAAGTGATGGACTGAAAGGAATATTAGAAATGATTATATCCAAATCAAGTTTAAACCCATATTCATATCCATATCTGGAATTGAACGGCATTCAAAAAAATCCCAATAATTCATGGGAAGATTATCACCCTACAGATAATATTATTAATAATAACAATGATGGTTTATTTTCACCACCAATACAATATCCACAATTGCCAATTGTTAATAATCAACCTGAAGTAATTGAAAAAAAAGAAAATCTACAAATTTATGTAAATGACATTCTTCTCATATTAAAATATTTTGAACTTGGCGCATTCTTGAATTTGGATGATTATATATACTTACATTATTTTCTCTCTTCCTCACACGTGCTCTTAAAAAGGATTATGATGTTACAATGATGGATTGTGATGATTCAGTACCTTTACAGTTAGCAACAAATAATATTATATCATTATCAAATGATGAATCTATGATCATACAGGATGATGATTTAATTTTAAAGGCGGCAAAGATAAATGGATTGCATCCTATTTCTTCTGTTCAAACAATAGCGTCACCATATTCCACTAAACACAACACCAATAACAACAATAATAATAAACACAATAATAATGATGATAACAATGATAATAATAGCATAATAAAATCATCGATTTACAATTCGATTCATGCTCCAAGAGAATTACCTAATTCGCTATCAATAGGCGCAGTAAATAATTTAGTAGCAATAAAAGACTTTGCTGCTTCTGCTGCCGATATAAATAATAATAATAATGATAATAAGAAAACACGAACAGAAGTTGTATCAACCATGTTGCTTCAAACACCAACAATCCCGGATGAATTTCTTATAAAAACCATTGGTATACCACAAAATCAAGTTATCAATACTATTATTAATAGTTTTTGTTCGTATCTTCCAACGGCAATGATTTATTACTTTGAAAAATTCCTGGGTCATGATTGGACTTATTTTATAAAAGACCCTGAACCATGGAGTATATTGACCATTTTCAAATTATTAGATCGATATTGGTTTACTGTTTTTTCTGAAGTTTTCCAAGATTCTAGAACAATACAAGAAGTCACTATTGTTAATGCTAGATCATTTATAGATCAATGGCAAAATTCATCAAATAAAAACTATTCAAATCTCAGTTACAACTACAATATGATTAATGATAATAATAATAATAGCTTAACAATTCGTGAACTGGTGCAATTCATACAAAATTCCGAAACTATCATTAAATTGATTTATAGTGATTTAAAAGGTACAAATTTATCAATTTCACAACTAAACGCAATAACTGAAAAATGGTGGCAGGAATTTCAAGCTTCACTTTATTAAAATCATTCTTTTTTTTCAAATTAAATTCTCTTCAGAGAAGAAAATCCAATTATCTGATGAATATATTTAATTTCGCTATTTTTTCTTTCTTAAATAATAAAATTTGTAAATTGCTTTAATTTTAAATTAATAAATTTGACAATATAAATTATTTTTTAAACAAAAATAATAATATATTTACACACTCATCTAAATACATATTCAATTAATTTTACATTCTGCTAACACCACCTAAATGACCACCTTGAACTTTTACATTATATATTACGCTTAAACAAAACCCAATAACAACTCTGGTCATCCTTGGATCAATAACCCCATCATCTAAAAGTCTTGATGTGGTATAATATACATCTGATTCTTGTTCTACCATGTTTTGAAGCAATTTGTTACGTACTGATGCTTCCTCTTCGTTAATTGATTTTCCCACCCTAAACAAAGATTAAATATCAGTATAATAGATAATAGATGGATATAATTTAATGTTTAAATATTTAATCAATCAATCAATCAAATTCAAAAAAAAACCTAGCAGCAGCTTCTCTCATAATCAAATCCATTACTCCTATTAATTGTTCAGCTCCCATAACAGAACATTTACTATTTGGCCACGAAAATAAAAATCTAAAAGCCAATAAAAACAACAATAATAAATATAAATAAATTATTATGTATCTTTTATCTTTCATCTTATATATTTGACTTACCTAGGGTTAAAAGCTCTACCACACATGGCATAATTACCAGCTCCATAAGATGCACCCATCATTATAGTAATAGCAGGTACTTCACTATTACTTACTGCGTTTACAAACTGTACTCCTGCTTTAATTATTCCCTCTTCTTCAAATTTTTTACCGACCATAAATCCTGTAGTATTTTGAAGAAACAATAATGGAGTATTCCTATTATTTATATTTATATATATATACATATTAAGAATAAATTTATAAATAAATTTCATGTAAAAAAAGATTTATATAAATATTATGAGTATATTCTACTTTACATTGAATTGCAAAGTCTTATAAATTGTGTAGCTTTATTAGCTTCTTGTATAAATATTACATTATTTGTTGCAACGATACCAACCTGGAATCCTATATTAATATATATATATACAATATAAAGATTAGTTTTATAATTTTAATAATAAAAGCTTTTTCAGAGAATAATCAGACCCAAAAAAGCAAAATGCGCTTATTTTATGTAATTTTTACCATGAATATAACCCCACCCTGTAATAAGATTTTGCCCATAAAGTGATTTAAAACTTGTAAATCTTGATCCATCGACAATACGTGTAATTACTTCATTTGCATCGAAAGGAATCTTAATATTTGATGATACAATACCCAAAAGTTCATCTTACTCAAATAAATAAGTAAATAAACGAAAATTTAATATGTAATTTTTTTTTCAAAAAAATTTATAATAATCTATTCATAATAATTAAAATACCTAAATCATATAAAGGTGGTTCTATTTTTGATGAAAAATGTCTTGATGGTATTAAACCACGTTTTGCCCAATTTAGTTTACCAACAAATTCACGAGCTTTTTTAATAGCATCATATTCATCTAATGCAAGTTGATCCGACACACCGGATTTTCTACTATGCATATCGGCACCACCTAAACTTTCAGCATCAACCACCTCACCTGTTGCCATTTTAACAAGGGGTGGGCCACCAAGAAATACTTGTGCCTGGTTTTTTACCATAATCACATAATCAGTCAGACTTGGTGTATAGGCACCACCTGCTGTCGAGCTACCAAACACTATACTACAAGTTGGTAATCCAATTTTTGTACGCTCAGCCAAATATCTAAATTGTGCACCACCTGGGTGAAAAACACGAAACTGTTGATCCAATTTTGCGCCACCTGTTTGTATTAATTGAATATATGGTAAACCGTTTTCCAAAGAAATTGTGGAAATTCGTGAACTTTTCAATACGCTGATTTCATTCGATGAGCCACCAAATAAGGTTGGCACGTTTCCGCTTATCAAACATTCTACTCCACATACAAGTCCAATGCCTGCCACCACTGATCCTCCCAGTGTCATATCCTCCTGACCCCAACCGGCTAAAGGGCACAATTCCAAGAAGGGAGAATCTTCATCTAACAATAAATCAATTCTATCACGAACTAATAATTGACCTCTTTTAAGATGTTGGGAAATTGCCTTTTTACCACCTTGATTTGCTGCCAAACTTAATCTATCATTTAAGGTGTCTACCATTGCAGACATTTCCTTGTAATTTTTTTGATAAAATTCATCTTTGACAATTTTGGATTTTAAAATAGGTGTTTCATTATAATTATTCATTATAATTTTCTGCGCCAAATTTGAGAGTTCAAAAATGGGAATTATCTTCTTTTTAAAAACAAACTAGAACTAAAATTAACTTTTTGAAATATTTAGTTTTTTTTATCTTCCATAAATTTATTACTTTAATTTTTTAAAGTATTAAAATAAAACAAGGAAATCGAGTGGCTGTTGTTATGAAATAATTAGTGGTAATTATATTTATGTAGCCCAAATTATTTTTCGATTTCAATAATCAAAATTATTTCTAATAACCGTATGTGAATTAAAAAACACGTTAATGATTTGAGATAAAAGACATATTAATCGTATTAAAATTCTTTTATTTTATTTGTTAGATGAGGTTCATTTTACCACATATGTATAGACGATCATAGTTGTAAATGGCAGTTATTCAGAGTGAGTAAATTTATTTTATTTGCATTTTATGAGAACCTCTGACTAGGTTTACGTATAGATATATTTTCTTATTTAAAAATCTCTAATCATTTTGTAATTTCCAATGTAATAGAGGTCTTTACTATCAGTGATTATCATTTGGGATGAACGCGATGAGCCAAATTGTTAAATTGTTCCTGTTGTCTCGTCTCATCGCTTTGGGGAATTTTGAAGGAGGTGAACTATGCTTCCCCAACCCCAGATCGTGGTGGCGCTTCGGCCCAGATAAATCGTCGCATTTTCCTCACGTCTTCTACTCCATGGCAATTTTCTCGTTACTAGGGGAATCAGACACAGCGTTGTTTACTTCGTACATGGCATGGTTTTTCATTATTTCACTTCATTTATTGGAGATGATTCTGGCTTTGGTTATGGTAATAAAGAGATAACAAAATAGACGAATTTTATTTAACAACAGAAATGGCATGGTTGTATTTCTATTATGCTAGAAAAATATTTGTCATTAACAAATTAGCAATTCTTTAATCAAGATATTAAAGATCTAAAGAATAGATTGTGTTTCAATTCCATTTAGAAAAATTTCTCGTTGATAATTAGTTAATAAATTAAAGATGATTTGCTTTAGAAGCGATATATTACAATATGGTAAATTAAAGGCCAATGTTAACCAGGCATTCGCTAGAGTTTTTTAACAATCAACTTTATTTTTAAAAAGCAATAGAAGTCAAATTATAATTTTTTTTTTTTGAGCTTTATAAAATAAATGACCGTCCTTTGAATATAATGTCCTATCCATTCCTCAATCAATCCCTTTTTGAATAAAAATGTTTCCGGGTAGTCCTATAATCGAGCCCGTCGAGATGTTGATGCAGTTTCTTCAGATAATTATTACAGAAGGTGACTAGTTGATATTTTCTGTACTTCTTCCGGTAAATATTCTTGGTTCATTTTCGATATTGCGGTCTCAGTCAGCCGATAGACGTGAAATAAATAACCTTGTTCCCAGCAGCATTAAGTTATGAAGTCCTTACTACAACCCAAAGAAGGTTTTTCGCTCTTATCTATCAATTTATTTTATTTAATCATCTCTTTGATTTTATAAGGAATATCATTAGTATTCTTTCTCTATAACAATTCTGCTAATCAAGAATAATAGTCCAATCGGGGACAGTAAATTCTTTTTTTCACAATTTCTTTGGTTTTTTGCTCAGGTAAATTCGTGTTTGGAAGTCTTCGTGAGATACGAGAGTCATAATATCTCTGTTTTCTTACAGAGAATCAGAAGTAATATTTTTTTGTCATTTAATATTCATTTTACATCATTTTGTCTAATAATTAGTTCTTTAATTTTTTTTGCTATTCCTGTTAATTGCGAACGAATTATTTTTGTGTTTCAGGTAAATCCTTTAATGGCTGTTTGTTTTCAATTATTATTAGTATTAGTAAAATTTTTGAATTAAATACTTGTATCTGATCTCAATGTAAAAAAAGCAAAAATTTTATATTAATATGTTTGTTCCAAAAAATTTATCCGCTAAATCGGAATATCCGCAAAATCGAGCAAGTTGTACAAATCACGAGATCATGTGACACGAGTCATAATATATATTAAAAATAATAAAATACAGTAATAAAATAATATAACTACAAAACAAAAAAAATATTTTATTCCATCATATAATAATCATCCATTCTCATTTGTACTTTTTCTTGAAAACTCTTATGAGAAATTTCCCTCTTTAATTTATTGATACTTCTAATTACTTGAAAATCAATATCTAAATTTTTTTGTTATTACAATACTTTGGTTGTGAAGACATTTTCGATTTTTAAAATATCAAACATTACATATACATATTACATCAGAACTTTTCAATGTTATTATTTATTACATTCAATTATTATGAAATATTTAATCTAGTTGATTTGATTTTTTCTTGATCTGGTTGGTCGTGAATATTTTCCGTTTATTACAAATCTGACATCATACATATAACATCAGAAAATTTTCCTGTCATACATAAGTTTTTATAAAAATGATCGTCATCCGTTATATCAAGACATTTTTATTATGAACGGACATATAGTAATAGATTTAAAAAAAAAATCCGTTAAATCGTTAAATCGGGAGAAAATAATTATAGATGAATTGGGATTTGAAAATTTATCCGGTAAACCCTTAAATCCGTTAAATCGGAATCCGCTAAATCGGAATCCACTGTGTATTTGGTTTGGAAAGAAGGATTTATTTTATAAATAAAAATAC